ACATTGGATACTGCTGTAACACTAGACGTACCATACATTTGAATGAACCTGCTGACTGCCTCTTGTCTTTGATAATATTCAGTGAGTATTTAGGTTCTCTTCAACGACTGATCAGGACAGGCGTAGATGTTCAGTTCTCACCAACTAGCATTTGCTTCTGACCAGTAAGATGTTCTGTGTGATGTGATCTGTGGCCAGTTATGGAACAATCCAAACAGTACTTGAGTCTTTATCACCAGGATGCAGAAGGCGAGTAAAATAACATGAAAGTGCTGGTGAACTGTTCAACTAAAACGGTTCTGGTTTTATTGGCAGATGTATTCCTACTTAGTTTGATGCACTACAAATGATCAACCGTTAACTTCATTCGATACATTTCTTCCGCACTCAACTACTTCCTTCACGCCAAACTTCGTAACTGACCATAATAAGTGTGTTCACCAAAGATATGTGACACACTTAGACTTCACATGCTTTTATTCCGGCAAAACGCTAACCCTATAATTACTTCACGTGGGCACGTTCCACTTCGCTCAACAAACCTGTTTTGTTATCGAATTTTAACCGTTATCGGACACCCCTCTTCATGACCAACAACTACTACACCACCAGCAATCAGCAAAACCGATTAAACTGGGGAAAATCACACACACTGTCTATGGGTGTTTTGTGTTCCGCAAATTCCAGCGATATCATCCAAGCGCTGAAGATCGCGCATTTGCAGGTTGATTAACTCAGAGGACGAAAAAAGACATGTTGTTCATGCCACTGACATTGCTGCCTCTGTATGGTCAGCCGTACATGTGTGCTTTGTACATCTGTGTAAGATCATGAACAAAGACACGGTTTCAAAAACCAGCCGTGACAAAGGCTAAAATTACAGGCAAGAGTCACATTGTTCCACTGTTTCTCTTCACACTAATTCACACCATTTGTCATCTTAGTCAGACTGTCATCACATGGTGATACTATCGGTATCTATCCAAAGGAAGGCACAAGGGTGCCAAACATACTACTGTTGGCCTACTGGCTTAGTAGTGCACAGTGGACTTAAGTGGTGAGAGCGGATTTAGCTTCACGCTCACAGTTGTGCGAGGATTGTCTCCTAAGCGTCATCAATGTAGAGTGTTCCCCTTATTGCTCTGAGCTACAACTGTGCTAAAGAATTTAAGGCGCCTGAAAAATGACTTTGTTGAATATCCCGATACGGAACTTAGAGTCACGCATAGGTTTGGACGACCTTAAATGTCAGAAGGAAAAATAGGGTTATAAAGTCTACGGTGCTGTTTAATCAAATACTAGTAAAGTTATGCAAGAAATCACAATTGTCCACGTTCTTGGCGTCAACAAGTGCACAAGTCTGTCAATGATCGGCAACTGTAATGTCAAGGTCTGCGAACCGAACAACGGCAAGCGAAATGTTGGCCTGGTACTAAGGGTTGTGATCGTCGCTTCCGACGACAGTCTCGTGACTGGCGATGCGATTACATGGAAATCATGAGAGAACAAGTCAGGACAGTTTCAGCAAACCGAGCACAAGCACCCTTGGCTGAGTAAGTCCTTTGCGCACATTCACACACAGAAATACATGGTAATAGATCTCTGCTTGATGGGACGGCCATTGCGGCAAGGTGAATAACGGATGTAGCTGATCAAAAAGTGGAGATCCAAAGTACGTGGGCGGAGTAAGCAAATGTATGGGGAGGATGATCATGGGGTCAAGTTAAATTTATGAGACTTAAGGTCTCATACCTAAACCACGTCCCTTGTAAGTCCCCAGAAAACGAAAGGATGAGCTCGATATTCAGAAGTTGCCGTGAATGGCGAGCAGGTAATGTCGTCATTCTGACTGTTGAGACGTTTGAAATCTAACCGTCGTGCTCAGCGAACATACCGATGAATAAAGATGAATGGATACGGATCCTTTTTTCTGAAGTTAGTGCATTCCCTTCCTTGAAATAGTGACAAGATATCGATCGTATTCACCTCATTGTACAATCAGGTCGCTACTGTACAAAATCTCACAAAACTTTGGCGAACTGTAGTTCCCGGCTTTGATAAATGTAAGCGGCTGAAACGGCAGAAACGGCTGTAAACGGCAGAAAAACTTTTGACCTTGGGAGTGCTATATCACAGCCCCACAAGCCCTAGACCAAAAGTCGTGGAATAGTTCATTACGGTGAAAAAGTGTCGACAACTTACGAGACTCTGTATTGTAGGTTATGAAATGGGCTGCTGAGTGTTGTTTGTCTACGTCCTACAATCCTCGTAAGAGTGGATCGTGCCATCTCTAAAACTATAAAGTGTGATTTCCTAGTAAAACTTTCGGGCGTGCCAGACAAATTGATGTCACTTTGACAGGGGTTGGCCACTGCCAATTTATAATATTTTCCTGTACTAATATACCCTGCATAAGGCTTCATCGTCCCGAGTTGCATCACAGCTCTGTGGTACTTTCATTCTGAGGCATGAAGTAAGGACACTAGAGTTAATACACTTAGTACGCGGAGCCTTAGCCCGCATGTTTGTCGAAGTTGACGGCAATGTTTTTAATGGATGACATGTTCAACATAAAGGACAAACGAACATGAATGTAAGACGTTGGTCTCATGAAGCCTGCCAGGAGCAAACAGAATATTGTGTACTTAAGCGAATCACCTTTGTGTGAATAAACTGTCCAGCGTCGGACAAAACGAAGCACAGGATTTTGCACGCGGATGCCGCTTCGGTAATTCAAGGAGCGTGCAATGTTGTTTTTTACGACCTAATCATACCGATTCATTCAAACAAGGTGATGCTAAACAAAACTCTGCACACTTAATCATGATCGGGCATACGTATGAACGGTTCGCAACAACATGACGCGCAAACTGTCGTCATCAAATCATAACGTCTAGGTTACAGCCTTCTTCGGGGTAGCTCAAATGGTTCTAACTCAGGGGCCGCAAGATTGGCTCCGCCATTAGGGTTTTTTGTGCATTAACTGTGGCCATCGTTAACTTTAAGATCGCATCAAACTTATCCATCGTGTTATATCAGCAACACAGTAGGCGTAATTGCGGTCCAAGGAGACATCTATTCACTAATTGATGACTCCGGATAACAATTTCATGGTCACAAATGAATTGCTGTTTTCGTTTTTAACGCACGACTTAGAGATTGTCATATGACTGAACAGCGAGATGAATGAAAAAAAGAAAATAAAGTGTTCAGCTTTAGCACCCTTCCGGTGCCTAGCTGCCATGCCACCCGAAGGAAGCACGAGGGCTGGGATACTGCCAGGTTGCCCAAGTCTAGACAGGGGAAGTCGAGTGGCGGAGGTCGGATTCGAACCAAGGACCTTCCGGTCAGTAAATTCGCGATCTAACCACTTGGACCATCTCGCCCCCGAACAGCGAGATGAGAATGATATGTGTCAGATCCCATATGAAAATAAGTAACAAACTAAAAAAACATACAAAAGTCGAATTGTCTTGGATTCAAGAAACAACCAGAAAAGGGAAGTCTGTCTCAGCGTGGTCCATTGGATTGGTAAATAAGGCACTTTAGGAAACAACAGACAAATTCTGAAGAGCTATTCGATGACCATGCCTAATAAATACTGCCTATAAAAAGATTCGAGTAACTATGAGAGATATTTTTGAAGAACAAAGTGTTCTCTCTAGTTAAAGAATCACTTTCATATATTTTGTGAATGATTGCTTCAGTACGCTAACAGTAAGAAACCTCGAGATACTTGCCACTTACAGCAAACAAAATATTGGTGATCAAAACAGAGAAATTTTTAACAAAACGGACATTCCATCATAGCGCTAGTATTCCCCGATCACGGTATCGCGAATGGAAGACCAATATTTATATTGGGGAAGGCACAATAATGTTAGGTTAGAAACTGAAGATACAAAAATTGAAATATTTTGTTAGATGATATCCGAAACAGCAGGTCGTCTGTTTTACTATCAAGCTCAATATTTCAACAGTTTAATACAGATTATATATACATATATATATATATATATTTACTGGTGGCTTCCTAGACCAAGTCCAGTTGTTTCAGAATGGTGACCGGTTGCGCAGTTCCCGTTCAGAGCTAAGATAATGTGGGCCTCCGTAAGGTCGAAAATCACTTCTGGTAGTTCATTTTTAACTTATCACACTCACAAAAATCCAATATAATAAGGACCACTGTATGATAATTAGAAAATTAAAGAAATAAAATAAAGTGTTCAGCTGTAACACCCTTCCGGTGCCTAGCTGCCATGCCACCCGAAGGAAGCACGAGGGCTGGGATACTGTCAGGTTACCCAAGTCTAGACAGGGGAAGTCGAGTGGCGGAGGGCGGATTCGAACCACGGACCTTCCGGTCAGTAAATTCGCGGTCTAACCACTTGGACCATCTCGCCATTGGTGATAATGGAGCCCCTAGTTGAACGCAGGATCCCGACTTGAATTCAAGCTAGAGACCTCTGCAACCAAACAAAAGAAGCTCCCATCACATTATCAGTCTACTCTGAAAGCAAGATACCCCGTTTCTTGGGTAGGGTGCACCAGAGTAGGTCTCATAATTCAATAAGTTGGAGGGAGATATAGATGCTTTCTGTTGCTCAAACTGATCAGGAAGTTTTGCTCCAGGATATACCCTGAAAATTTCGAAGCATTGTCTTAAACAACTTTATCGGTACCTACATAATGGGCGTGAAGATTTAGAGGAACCCTGGCTCTTAGGGTAGATTAATCCAGTGTGCTTTTGATGGCTAATAGAAATAGCCAAAAGTGCTATGTGTATTTGGGTTTCCAGGCTTGGCCTCCTGTCTTCGGCTTTCAGCTTTATAAAGACCAAGTTTGTGATCGCATTATATCTGCAGAGGATGACAATTTCTGGTCGTCCCCTATATGATTTTGTAACTGAATACACGAGGTAATTGCTAACAAAGCCTGAAAAGACATACAAATTACTGTATATCACTGAATTTGTGGTAAGTTTTGCTCAGTATGCTTACCTCATCGAAGAAAATGCAGGTACATAAGATGTCACCACACTCAGAACATGACGTTGTCAGGTACTGGAAAAATCACAAAATTCCAGGTTTATAGTGTGTTTAGAACCGGTAGGTTTGCCGGACTGTCGATGTACTGAATCCTAACATTCCAATGGCTTTACAGGTGGATTTACTTCTTTCGGGCTGAATATTCCTCGGAGGTATGAATAGACATTTTCGCGAACGTGAACCACAATCTGATGAGTTTCACTAGTGAATTACTTTGTAGGCAATTATCGAGCGCCGAAAATGTATCGACCCGGTTTTTCTCACCATCCCATGAAACGTGTACCACACATATGAGCATCAGATGCCAGCGTAACCACATTCTACAAACTCCATATATCTACGCACATACTGTCTGCCTCTCTATCACGATGGGACATATTTTTCCTACGAGCGGGACAAGCCATTGAGAGAGGGCGCGGATACAAGCGGAACAAAACAGACACGGGAACACTGCCATAATGCATTCATGCGAGTGATCGCGCTCACACCTACATCCATCTAAGGTTGTGTTCACAACTATGGCCTGCATGCGGTACAACCTACCCACGCACGCTTTTCAGTCAGCAACAGAGCAAGGAGCGTCAGCGATCAGCGTGCGTACGTTTGTGCGGTCGATGGACAGACGCACACACTATTGGGCGCGGCATTCTGTGTATAGATTGCCGCAACATTCACTGCTCCATAGGTTTGATATGTAGCGCATTTTCGTGTGGTTGTCTAGCCATTTTTGACTTCTCATTTTCCAGCATGGTAATGCTCTGGTGTATTGCTTCACTAAATTGAAGAGGGTTTTGGGGACACTGATCTATTGTGATCCGAAATCAGGTATCTAAGCTATACAGACACTATCCTCCGGAATGCGTGATAACGAGTAGAGTTCTTTTGACTATTCTTTCAGACACCTTGCATCTTGTTAGCAGGTTCTAGGTTAAAACAAAAACCTACTAATCAACACAGGACGGTAGAAATACACCTCATATTTGAGTAACAAATACATTTCCTTTAGGAGAATCACGAATAAATATGGCCATTAGTTTTGACATCTTTATTATTAAGAGCAAAGCTTCAAAAGGACAGCTTCAGACCAAAACGCTACATTGTTATCGCTGTTCGCCTATTTCTCTTCTGATTGTCAGGAGAACTGTAAAACATTTCACCATACTTCTTTTGAGTCAATAAGAGATAATTCACTACAGGGCAACCTAAACTATAACTCAGAAACTAACTTCCGTCTTTTTTGGGGCCTAAAGATCTGGTTTGGGTTTTGTTGATTGAATTGTCAAACGCTACCGTGGAAGCCTATCATCGTTGTGTATATCCCGAAGTAGCATTTTTCCAGTAACTAGAAAAAGTGCTGGCAAACAGACTACCCCAAGAGGACTGTGAATGGTATGACCATCCTAACCAAAATGGTCCACAATCCATCCATTCCTTGAAATTCGCAGGCAGTTTATTATACCAAGCTTTCAGTTTCCGCAGAAACTATGGTTCCTGAGTACACATTGATTGCATCAGTCTTCATGCACTTATTTCCGTCTATATTGAGTGTTCCTCCGTATTAAGTCCGAATTTGAGATTTGTGCATTCTGTGGTGCATCTGTGAAAAGTTGCGATGTTACATTTGCTTAATGTTTTTTTAATGGGGTAGATGACACCTTTATTTGCTTTGAGGCGCTTATCTGCACAGTTGTTGCCGGAGAGGCGACGGATACGTCGGAAGCTTCATCCACTATTGGAAAGCTGATACCAAAGAAAAATCGAACTGGGTTAATTCACTATTGCTTTATATAGATGGTCGGGAACTGACTGGTCATTAAGTTTCCGGCCCACACAGATCAAGGTGCTGGATAAGAACGGAAACACTTCGTATACGCGAGGTGCTCCCTCATCAGATCGGTCCTGTTTTTTGGAGTACCAGGAAGAATCAGCCAGGTCAAATCGTGACGCGGATAAGACATTTAAAGACTTAGTCAAGCGAGTCTATACCTGAAATCATAAGTGACATAAACGACAGTTCATTATAGTATCCCAAACCGACTGTGAAATTGATCCATCCATTCCAGAAAACCTCTCGGTAAATATGGCCTTCTGGATTTTATAGGGTTGGAAAGATCTACTACCGGGCTTTGTGCAACCTTTGGTTACCAAAATTGGTTGTCATATTTTAATCACCAGTTGGTTTGAGCATTCCGGTGGGTGATCGAGTTTATCATCAGAAAACTGATCAGTGTTAGGATTCACTGACAGAGCCGTTGATAATGCAGGAAATGAATTTGGAAGCTGTGTATGACTTGAGGCAGAAGACGGCGACTATAGTGAAAAGACGATGTTGATGTTGTTGATGTTCTCTTGAGGGAAACCATTCACAAGTTTGGTGGATTCTCTTGGACAGTTCACGTCCGGTTTCACTCCTACTGGAGGGTCTGCAGGGAGGCGCAGTTCCAGGGGTTCTGTCAACCGTATATTCTCCTTGAACCCAAATTACACGTACGTCGACAAATACACTCATTTGTATACCGTGTTCCTCATTGGGGATTCGAATGAATCGCAGCTGAAATTCTTGTCCATGATATTCTTCCCCATTATAAATGAGAGATACAGCGAGACCCCAAGTAAGCACTCCATAATGCGTTAACTGGCATGCAAAGGAGTGTTTGTCGAACAGTCAACCTAACTTCTTCATGGGAAATTGCCACTCTTAAACAACTTCATCATTATCATCGCTACCATCATCACTATCATTACAAGTAGCAACTTTACCTTCCCTACCACTAATATCATCTTTACCATGGATGGCAAACTGATTGCTCGGAAGCGCAACCTGCCTAAATGCGAGTTACCCAGTTTTGCATCACTCATTCATGTTTAAACTTGATCGCGGATTCCAAGCTTGCTATATGCCTTTGGAATGCTCACAGCTTATTGTTCTAAGCAAATTTAAGACAGATGTAGGGCGTTCCAAATTTTGGCCTAACATGACTTCATTTACTAAATATAAGTTACATCGATTTACATTGGATCATTTTGTTTTACCCAATAAAATGAACTTTTAATAAGTACAGCAGGAGGGTGTAGATCTTTTATAGCTAATCTTCCTCTAACCATCATAGCTCACTGGGTCCAAAAATCCGAGTAAAACCCAGCTAGCGTTGAGTCCCACAGCGTGAGGTTAAATTTCTCATTTCCATAATAATTCTGAAGAAGCTGCGCCTTAGGAAGACACGAATAATTTCGACTGATTTTATTTCTACATTTGACTTCCTTTCGAGTTTATTCGTAACTCTCTTTTGGGTTTGTAAATCTGTTAGCCCGTTACCCTCGATTGAATTTTTCTCATTATTCTCAGTCAACTGAGAACAATGGCAAATGACCGGGAGGGAAGAAGAAGATAGAAGAAGTGGGATAGCCTGGTTTTCTCTATTAATAGCCAAGCAATTTAGTATAAACTGTAAAGAAATTAGGAAGATTGTTTTTAAACACATACAGGAACGGAGTTTGGAAAATTGAACGCTTAACAGCCAGTCGTGGAGCGAACGGAAAGGGATACCGCACCGTGATACAACTTGGTATACTAATACTTCTTCTTAGAGCGCATTGCACCTATTCCACTTTGTGGCAATAAAGCACGGCTTTCAAACTAAGGTGGTTTTGAGTCCAAGTCTTCTGGTGGCAAGCGTTTAGTTACGACCGTTTTTGAAAAAAACTGGAAGTAAAATTACAGGGTTTCAATGGTAGCAGATGCTAGCAAAAATTTTTCAGAATAAAGTTTCGAAAAGAGTACAACTTCTTCCACATTCTTCTTATATTTAGGTAGACTGAATCAATGAAAGGGAGACACCTTCAAAGAGAAAACGGTCTACTTAGATAAGGGCAGAAATTATTGAGCTGCTTACGGATATGTCTTTCAGTAAAAGAGTGAAAATTTGCGCATTTTCGATAACCCACTTCCCATTTCCAAGCCTTTCAACCCTACGCGTAAATTAAGCTGTGGTTGTCAACCTTACGTTTTGTTGTCGTTATGACAACACCCGTTCTCCCCCCACTTCACATCACTAACTTCAGCAACGTCATCGGTACCGTAATTATCAGCATTGCAGCATGCAGGACCATATACACACAGAATTCTATCACTGGTGGGACGAAGTGTTTTTGTATGTTGTTCCTGCCGGTTATTCGTCCCCCGTGTGTATGCTTTCTCGGGCGAACGCCTTTTGGGAACTGTTGTCTTCAGGCAATGTCAGTAACCAGTCGCATAATAACATTTCGATCATTTATAGCAAATGGCCGACCAAGTATCTATGCCATTTGGGAATGCATCCTTCGTTTAATTACACGTAAAATTAACTCGCTGTGTTGGATATCTGGCAAATTTTTCGTGTAGTTTTTCATTTAAGTTTCTGCTATCTCCATAAATTAATGAGAGATGAATTCTAAGAGAACTATTACGAATTGTCAATAACTGAAATACTACCAGAAACAACGTCAGCGATCCGCTATAAACGCGTTTATCACATACGCGAAAACGAAATCTATCAACATTCTGGTAAGTCGATACCGTGAGTTCTAAAATGCTAGTTTTTCATCTTACTAGTTTACAGAACGGTCAGCGGCTCCGGTGCAAACATTTTTGTTTTCGGGATTTCAAATTCTTTTTCTTGTCATCAGAACGCTCTTGTTTGGCGCATAGCGTTTGCAAGTAGTGTGTTTGATGAAAATAAATTTCCATATCCACGAATTTCTATCTCTGTCCCACAAATTCCAAAAATACATGGGACCAATCAAACTCAATATGCAGTGCACTTGGTTGCCACCAAATTTTATTCTACATACTGATAATTAGCCGCAATTAATCATCTCACAACAACGTTCTAGTAGTGTTCAAGTTAAAAAACGCGGATTCCTGACTAGATTTTACATGGGATATTCCTATTTAATCTTATGTGAGATTACTTTTAGCTTAAAAAATCTTTCAAAACACGTTAAGAAATCCAGAGCAACTTCTAGCACACCTCGTTTGAATAGTAAGCTATTTCTATACCAGCGTTATCAAGACGCCTTCAATGCGTTGTATTTACCGTTGCTGAGACTGTTTAAGAATCGAAACGCAGTCCTCCGAGACTCAAACTAACACCATTTTGTGTGTGGGCCATTTACTTTTTTCAGCGGTGCTATATTCCTTAGGAATTTACATTTTTTGGCCAACAGAAGAGTCCCGGCTGTAACATATACACACTTCAACTTTGGATGAGTACCTCCACATTCTTGTTCATCAATTCAGCAGAAAACGTGTGGTCACATCGTATAAATACAAATTACACATCAGCAACCCACA